AATCTTTCAGCTAGATGTAGGCTGGTATGTGCCTTTGCGCTGTTGATGCTATTTACTGATTCCCTAGGAGCCTTTTCAACTTGTAGAGTTTCATTTTGGGTGTTCTGGATGTTTTCTAAACTGATTCAACTGAATCCCAAACTCACTGGTCGCACAAGCCATTATAAAACAGAACATCCAACATTTGTAAAACTTTCCACTTTGGTCTAAAAATTCTGTCTCTCAGCCCTTGCATTTAGTTAATCACTGTTGAAGGACGACACTCTCTGTTGGATTATCCTTCTTCTTCCTCCATCTCCTATACAGCCTTGGGTGTCTGTTCCAGGTTTTTGGAGATAAGAACTGGACAGAGTTTAAATGTGCAAATCAAATGGCTTGGATTGTTCTTCTGATATTTGAAAAGTGAAAATGAAATTATTTTTCCTTGAAGAGCTGAGATTCAGAAAGGTTTAAGAATTAAATGAAACTCACACTAGATCCACGGAGCAGATACAAAACGCTACTGCTCTTAACCTCCAAAAAGGTAATCTCATCTCTTGTCTTAGTATGAAGGGTTCCCTTCTTCTCATTTATTTACTATTTAGTACTCATAACAGGGCAGCACACTACGTAGCTTCTCCATATCACATCACCTTTCTAATTGCATGCCACCTGCAAAATCAAGAATCGTCACGTGGACAAAAATAACATGACTGTTGTTGAAACCACATTTTTTCTATCACACAGGGGAAAAATAAGGTCAATATGGACTTGAAGGGTTGTAAAGATTTAGTCTGCCTGAATTATTTTATGCTTGTGAAAGTTAAGCAAATGAGAAACACATTAAATAAGATGACAGAATTTAGATTATATCTCCTCTCTCCTCGTGCCCCTTCCTGATCTTTAGGTCAGTAAATGAATTCCTCCCCCATCTCTCTTTCTTTTCTTTTCTTTCTTTTTTTTTTTTTTTCAATTTGTTAAGATGCTGAAATCTGCTTTGTGTGATTTATGAAGGAACTTGAAGCGATTAGTTTCACAGTGCATGAAAATTCCTCAGGTTCAGAGGGATGTCCAATCTGTTACACCATGAGCTGTTGACTGGATGAGAACATGAGCAGCTCGGAGCCGTAAGAAGATTGTGTTGAGTTATTAAACACTTGGAGTAAAGCTGCTTATTGTTAATTCCCCAATGTCCTTTGGATAAGATCAGATGGGATTAGAGCAAAGAGCCTGGGAACCAGCCTTTTGAGCAGATTCATTTAATCAATAAAGAGGGCCTCCAAAGAGAGAGAGAAGCAGTACCAGGATCACAAGAGATTAAGGGGAAGTAAGAAACAACAGATTATTTTCCTCTTATTTTTAAAATGTAATTCTGCAAACTAAAGTGTGTGTCTCTGTGTGTGTGTATGTATAAATTCTTGTAACCACACCAGCCAAAGGATATACTGTCTTAAAACTTCATTACCAAGCAGACAGTTTAGAACCAAGTATTTTCTAATACAGTAACAGTTTGTAAGTCAAGAGACTGTAAAAGTATTATTAAAGCAATCAGTACCATGAAATACCTACTGTGAAAAAAGGAACTCCTATTTAGGGTATTTCTGCAGAAGCAGTTTTTGCTTTAATGATCCCCTAAGAAAAGGAGGTTCTGGGTGAGTTAATCTGCACAATTTCTGTTCTTTCCTTCATGCCATAAGAAAAAAAAGGCAAAAGCCCAAAAAAAAAAAAAAAAAAAACGCCCCACAAAACAAAACAAAACAAAAACACCACATCAAGATATAAATGTATTAAATTAATAACACTGACAGATGTTATGGAACGTGTGTTGTTATAATACATGTAATTACAGTACCAATGCTGCTATTAATGCTTGCACAGGGAATAGATTCACATATAAGGACTTACAGAGCCTTGCTAAATCTGTACTAAAAGGTAGAAGCTGTCGACAAATGATGAAAAAGTTAACCCCCTCCCCCCCAAAAAGAAAATTAGAACAGAGAATCAATTTTCAGTTCTAATGAAATCATGTTATAACTGCTTTCCAGTTTAAGATGGCCAGAATTTGGCCCAAATGATTTGGGGAGAAGGGCAGACTCCTCTCAAGGATTATTAACTCTAATAGCATTATATGAAAAAATTGCATCTGCTCTTATAGGCTTCAATTTATATTCAGAGTTAAATAAGGATACATGTCTATAAATCCATTCTCTAAAATGTAATTTTCCAACCAGATATGCTGATGACTTCAGGTCCCGCATACCTTTACCAATTGTTAATTACTATGGGACTGTTTAACACTATTTTCCAAATCAGCACGCATGCATAAAATGACTGCAATCTAATTTGACATATTATTAGTGATGATTATTGTCATAGATAAATTAGATTGAACAGAAAATAACCTTCATCCTTAGCATGTTTTAGCTCTCAGAATTAATGTGATTTGGTGAACACATATAAATAAAAGTCTGATGAGTCCCTGCTGACTGCAGGCCTGCTGGTGCTGAAGTGTATCAATTTCATGCAGATGATGAATTCCTTAAGCATTCAATGATAATCATGCTTGATTTGACAAGACTTTCTCATGCTATTTTAGGGCCTTAATTTTCTGTGAAGTTCTGTCAAGTGTTCATCAAGCACCCACTTATCTCCTGATCTTAACCTGGCAGCCAATCCCAAGGTTGCCTCCCAGTACCGCCACCAGTCCCAGTCCATTAATATTCCCGCCACGTGACTGTCCACAGAGAGAAGCCAATCAATGGCTGATTAACATGCTGGTCACGTGGCTCCCAAGGAGAGTAAATGAGTTACACAGTAAGACATCAAACAAATTTTCATCTTGAAAGAGTGATTGCTTTTTCTGCTGCTGTGATGTTTGTCAAATTCGCTCTAGCCTTGTCCAATTAAGCTCCATGAGCTGAATGAGTAATGAAGAGATGTGAGTGCTGTGCCAGCACGACAGCTATGAGGAGTACTGCTGAGCAAGAACTGCTACAGGAAAAAAATATTACTAAAATGATTGAAAAATCACATCTGGATAACTGGAATAATTGCTTTCAAATTTTGGATGCTGTTTAGTAATCTCTAGTGCAAAATATAAATTGCAACTTGCTGTATAGGACATTTGCTTTGGGACTAACTTTGCATGAAAAATGAGTTTGCATTTTCCCATAATAAAATCATTTTATTTTTTTTTAAATAAATACACATTAATTGGCTTATCACCAGAAAGTGTGCTAATGAACCTCTTTTGGAGCCTGCTGGAGAAACACTGGTGGCAGAAGAGCTGATCTTAAAACATCAGCCAGCATGGGTAAAACTACTCTTTATCTATTTGAGGAAAAAGGAATAGAAAAAGAAACGTTTAACAGACGAAGTAGGGGAGGAAAGCAAGTGGGGAATTTTAGGAGGAAGCAGCTTTACAGGACGTCAGTTTAAATATTGGGTGAGATCCTTAAATAACATAATTTGGCAGAGCTCCATTTACATCATTTGAGAAGCGGATTCAGGGTAGATTGATTATGTTATTTGATCTGATTTGATTTGATTTTGTTTTATTTTATCTAACTGCTATGTATTTGCCACTAAATTAATATTGCTCAAGGAAACAAAAATGAATGTTTGAATAAAATTATAAGCCTGTTAAGTAGAAAGCTTTTAAAGGGAATATCCAAAATTACTTTCTAGAACATCATTGAAAGTCTATTTAGTCAGAAAGTCAATTGCATTTTAGTCCTGATACTGTACTAAATTCTGGTGACATGTTTAGAGTAGAGACCTATGAGTAATAAAGCTTTCATCCAGTCACTGAAAGGAGTTACAGTCACCTAATGGATTACTGGAGATATGAAAGAAAGCTTCGGATCCTACTTATTAGGTTCTAGCATGAAATTAGTTAAATTCCCAAGGCGATCTGAAGCAATATTTTCAAGTTGGCTTAATAAGGGTGTTAGGGCATGCCAATTAACTGGCAGCCCGAAATAAACAGTCGTTGGAGGCATAAGACAGTGTTTATATCTGCAAAGTTAATAACATTTTAAATGGGACTTCTTGGTAGGATGGCTCAAGGTGCTGTAAGAAGGCAAGACATGGAACATACTGTATTCAAAAGACCGTAAGCCAATTCACAGCGCTGCTAGCCAAGGGTGGAGACTGCAAATAGAGGAGCAATGAATTTCTAAGAGTCAGTGAGAAGGAGAGGAGGAGGAGGAGGGGGATAATGGCTTGGCACAAGGGGGAAAGCAGGGGACGTGAAGGGAGTGCCAAGTGGTTGAACCAGCCTGGGGGGATGACATGGTCTGGTGGCTGCCCCCAAGTCGCTGTGGCAAAGGCACGCACCGGAAAAGACCCCAAAAAAGGGGGCAGCACACAGAAAGCAAGGCCCCGGCACTGCAAACCCGCTCGAATAGAGGTACACTGCACTGTTTGCATAAAGCATTGTTTGTGCTAAACCGTCGCGGTAAACTTCAGTGCTCAACTCTGCCTCGACATGAAATATTAGCTCATTAGATTACTGTTTTACTTGTTCCTGCTGCAGCCATGCCACAGAGAACTGACAGGCTTGAAATCATTAGCTGCTCAAATGTTAACAAAAGAAAAAATGGTGAATATTATTATAAGCGACACCACTTGCTGACACCTTTAAATCAACAGCGGAGAAGGTGTCTAACTTTGTGTCAGTCACATTAGGTGGTTATGAATAAAAGAGTATTCTACTTTCTGCATAACTTTGCATAATTAATAGTTTTCCATGCAAACTATTGTTTGCCTTAATTGTTGTTTCAACAGCTGTTTTCATTAAATTGTAAAGCTCTTTGTGTCTAATCCTTTGAGCTGCGCTATTGATAACAAGAGTGCTCTGAAGCTAGCTTTAGAGGAAGAGAGGCCCTGCCAAGCTGGAAAGCAGTCATGAAGTTACTTGAGAAATAAGGTCTACAGTGGGACTGGTTGTGTAGCTAATCCATTAGGGCGTTTCAAAAGGACCTTGCTCTGCGCCCTCATGGCTAAATTGACCCAACAACCTATCAATGCCTTTATTTGCTGAGTGGTTGTCCATGAAAGGTCTCTGCGCCGGATCCAAGCTGTAATCAAAGCTTCCATCAGTACCAGGGCCCTGATGACACAAATGGCCAAACTTTCGACGTGGCTGGCCTGCTTCCAGTCGCACCGTTTTGAAGATACAAAGAGGCTGTGTTGTGCTGTGGAATTCATTTTCTTGTTTACTTCCTACAGAAACAAGAGCATAATCAGCACTCAGTGCATCGGATCAGACCGCTGAGTTGTTGACAGAAGCTTGGAGAGGCTTGCCAGCTTTCCACATGAAACGCCGGCTTTCTTCTCCGGCACCCCCTGCCGCCTGCGTCCCTGCCAATTGTAGCACATCAGAGCGGCCATTGAGATAATGACCGTGAAGTCTCATGATACACTTTGATGAAGTGTAACATTTTTTAAAGGATTTTTGTCTGTGCCAAAATGATAGAGACAGCTGACTAAAAATCACCCCATCAAAATCGAGGCTGATGAACAGCAGGCAGAGACATGTGCTTCCACAGAGAAAAGGGAGGGGAATTTACAGCCAAAGACTCTCTCAGTGACTACGTGCACTGTGGATTCCTTTAATTTGATTTTAAATGATCTTTTGTTTCAAATGAATGTATGCGACTTTGCCAAGACAGCAATTTCCCTAAATGTTTTTTATTTTGCATCAAAAATGATTCAGCATTTCGCCTTTACAGTGCTGAATAAATACCTCTATCACACAATCTATCTTTATTTCCTAAAGTTCATGTTGAAGTAAGGGAACAGCTTTGCTCAACATTTCAGTGCAACCCTGACAGACCACTTTTGCAGCCTCCCAGGGCGATATTTCGGGACTGCTGGGACTGAAAAATCCCATCTACCATCCCTGAGTTATATGATGGCAATGGGGTGAACCAACTCAGTAAAACAACCGGGGATGTATTTTCCATGCAAATCACAAGGAAAAGGAAAAGCAACAGAAGCAACAGAGTCACTTCAGTTCTTACTCCATCTGCATCAGGAATACGATATTTTTCCTAACAGGAAATCCTTTGCCAGCAGTTGATGCATTGATATATACCACTTCTCAGGATCCTTGCTTTGGGCTTTAGAGAAAGCTGGTAGGATAACTGGCCATTTACTGTGGATATAGACCACCTTACCACAATGATGGAAGTTCCATAGGGCATCTTTGAGCTGAATTGATTTGAGCTGGAAATTTCCCAGTGTATCACAGTTACATAAAAATCTGTGCAAAATATCTTTGAGCTGAATTAATAGCACAGAGGTGCAGAAGAGATGGAAGAAGAGAAACAGAGCAGGAAGGAGAAAGCTGCTTTCCGGAGTTTTTAACATTTCCTGCTTGTAAAAAGGTGGTCCTGAGGGTAGTATATTAATATCTTCATTGCTACCTGTACAAGTTCTCACATATTTCTTTTTGTGTCCCCCCTGTCCTGTAATCATAGAATGATGCTGTTTAAAATCTCTTTCTTTCTCTTGCTGCACTTATATTTGAATGCATTTTTGTCAAGCTGCTTTTGTTCAAAGCTTCCTCGAGATCTACGGTGGCAAAGGAGAATGCAGTAGTCTTTTGGAATAGAATAAAAACACTGGCAAGACAACAAAGACACAAACTTTCTTTAAACCCAGGTATATTGCATATTACAACCAACGATCTTATTACAAGTATGCAGAATGCCCAACTTTCCACAAGATATATGATGAACACAAAAAACTTCCTTTGGTTTGGTTTACAAACTATGTTTCCCTTTGAATAAGGAGTACAATAAAAAATAAATAAAATGAAAACTTTTGCAGCTACCATCTATGGATTTTTTAGCAGTCTGGTCTAGCTTTCTGGGAAATGCTTCATTAAAGAGTAAGACGCTATTCAGTGGAAGAGGATAGTGCTTCCTATTGAGATAACATCTCTCCAGTAGTGTATATAAATATACTAGCATTCTTCTTTCTCTAGAGACTGTCTCCTTACTCTGCTGTCTTGATATAGAATAAGGTACTTAAGCCTGACAGTATGCATTTCTTTGCAAACCTGGGGAAAACAAAAGGATCAAAAAATAACCAGATTTCATGTAGTTTCTGTGCCATGAAAATGCAAAAGTGGTTATTTTTTTTCCTCCCACTCCAACAAATGCAAAGCAGCTCAGATTTGCTAAGCAGTGGGCCAGAACCAGGCTTGATTGATAGCCTTACTGATTTGAGCTAGTCTTTCAGCAGGTTTCAATAAATCAGGCTTCATTTGTTTATCTCCATTTCCAAGCAAGGCCTCACCCAAGGAATATGCTATGGCCTCCCACGAATGCACCAGTGATGCACATTGGGAAGCTAATGTCTACACCACTTTGAATTGTTTGACAACTTGGTGAATCGCCTCTTCACGTAGGACAGACACCATAGTACCAACAGTGGACAAAAGTGCTAAGATACCTTGATCTTCTCTCTGGCTCATGGGCAGAAGTCCTATGCAAGCATCTACTACTAGAGAGCCCAAACACTTCACCATCACTAAAGGCCACAGGTCTATCAACCTTAGCCTTGTGCTTGAAACATGAAGTTTGCAGAAAGAGTGGTCAATTTGTTTAATGATGTTAAAGCAGTAGAGCTTTCCCGTTTTACAAAAAAAGCTCAAGTAGCCAAATAACTGCACCTATCATTAGAGAACATGCTGGCTTTGCGCGCTGTGTGTGTGTATATGTGTGTGCACGAGTGAACCAGGCACTATTCATACTGGTTAAGAGGGTAATTTCTCATCTCCTTCCCCTTTTAAAAGAACATCCTGAGAGTATTAATTTTGGAAAGCAGATCAAACAATGCAGTTATTCAAGCTGGCCTCGTTTCTGTTGGCTAGTGGATGCCAGTGCACATGGAGTAGCTCAACTTTCAGCAGCCTGGATGGAAATCAGAATAATGAGAACACTTAAAGATTTGTACCTTAGAGGCAAAGGTTTTCTCCTCCCATCTCCATTTTTATTCACATATCACAAAAATGGGTAGGAAAGGGAGGACTGAATTAGGCAGTTTTGCATCTCTGGGTGGGCATCTGTCACTGATAAGCAATTTTGATGGAACTTTGCTGCAGGGAATATTCAACAGTAATATATTCCTAGCTGTACCAGTGAATTTATTCATTATGGGTGCCAGCATGAGAATGAAGCCGAATGAAGTCAAGGGAAATGAAGAAAAGGTTGTGGGGAGAAGATAATGAAAGAAAGAGGGGGAAGAAAAGACAATTAGCAATGTAGGCACATATGTTTCAGTGCTTCTCAGATTTCCTGAAACTGAGCCTAACTGAAATGAGTAATAGTTAGTATTCAAATGCAATATCATGACAATCCAGGCATTTTGGAAACCACTTCCCCACAGAGTCTTTAAGGACTACTTGATGCTGTGGATTATGGTTGGAAGAAGTAACATCTGTTGTACTCACCCAAAGCTATGTATATTATTTCATTTTTTCCCTGTGGTTTAATGATAAAGATTTTCCTTTTTTTTTTTTTTTTTTTTTTTCTTTTTGATGGAATCAGATTATATCAGTTAAAAATATACATTCATTTATCTCTAGTTTTCTTTATGCAAGTAATATCCCAAATTAGTAGAAATAGAAATCCTTAAGAGGAAAATAACAACCAAGAAATCCTAAGCATTTGCAATTCCTACAGAAAAGATTCATATTTCAACATATGGTAAAAAGTTAGTCAGGAAACCTATTGTGTTATGCACCTATGAGTATTTACCAAAATTGGAACAATTTTACCCTAAAATGAAATGGAAATTGTCTTGTGAAAATTCATAGGGTTTTATATATTCTGTCATTTAAAAATTTTTAAAGCCATCAATTGTTATTTACAGCAAAAAGGATTAATCTGGAAAAAATTCAAACTAACTGTCAATTAAAGCAATGAACCTATTCTTATTGCATAAAATAAAATAAAATAAAATAAAATAAAATAAAATAAAATTCACAAAAATCTGTGCTACTGTCTTCAAAGGAGGCAATAAAATGTATTCCATAAATAAGAACCTTCTACTTTCCCCATCCTACTTTCCATGAATCTTTGCCAAATAAAACATTGCGCTATTAAAAGATATGGTATTCTAGAAAACAGTATGGTCTTAATGCCAAGTAGATTTTATTTACCTTGCTGTGGACTTAAAATCTATAACAGAAAATGTCGCCAACATACAGTAATGAATTTTTTTTTTCCTATGTCAGAGGCAGAACCTCCCAGGCAAAAGATGCAGCCATCTGACCTCATTTTAGACTCTAACCTGTTAAAAAAACATATTGAACATTTTAAATAGGCAATGAGGGACACTGTGCCATTAATATAAAATACACAAGAGGTGCAACTTCAACCCATACTCTCAGAAAGCAATTGAGGGATATGACTGCTCCTCCCACTACTCTCCCCTTCACACCCCAATGTGCATACATACACATTTAAGCAATGCTGCTGGCTTGTAAGATCCTTCCCATCTTCAGCTATTGCCACACAAAATATACAGTGATATAGTTTGAATATATAGAAGTCACAATACTATAAGAAGAGACCTTTTGATTAGAAATGAGTGAACAAATATAAAAACGTTCTTTATGTTGGTTTTAAAAAGTATATAAGTCATCTGATTCCAATACTGTTGATCTTTATTGAACTGTTATGAGTCATTAGAAGAATCGTGTTCCTTCCCCGCTACCTTTTTTCCAGCCATTATACAGGTATTTCATGATGGAAGCAGAGGAAATATTTAGTCTTTCAGCATTAATAGATGCTGTATTTTTGTCCGGTTGCCACTGAATACTGAAAGTCTGTTTTCAAGAATCAGATTAAAGCCCCAACAGGCCACTCTCTTATGCTTCAACTGAAAATAAAAACGCCAGTCACTCAGAAACAGGCTTACAGTCCCTTCTCCTGGCTGTTATCAGGATCTATAACATGTCTCAACCAACTGAACAGGATTTGCTTGAGACTTTCACTGCCTTGGCACTCAAATATCTAGCCATAGTGACAGTGGAAATGAACTTATTCTCCAAACTGCTACATTCTGTGGAGAATATGAAGCTCCTCATTTATTTTATATCATTATTTGTTATTTCAGCATTAAGTGAAGGCAAATGCCCATTCACTAAGAGTAAAACAACACCCTAATGAGGTGAAGCTTCCCTGGGAAGAAGTGGAGCTATCAGCAGCACCAAAGTACAAATCAGCACTGATTACAGATCATCTAATTATATCCTTAGAAACAGCGGCTCTCGCCTGAATGCCAAGAACAGGTTGCTGTGATCCAGTGAGAGACTACAGTTCACATACACTATATACTCCCCTAAGACACAGTAAGAAAGATTTTTTGCCATTGTACCCATTACAATGAAAGATTTTTAGC